CGGTTGCCCGTAACCCTGCCCTTTCGCTCCCTCGGGGCCGGGCCGGGATGGGCAAGGCCGCTGCCTGCGCGGCGAGGGCTGGATCCCGGGGGGGGAGATGGGGTGATCTCCGTGGGGTGAAGCAGTGCTGCCTGCAGATAAGGTGGCTCCGCAGGCGTCTTATGGGTGGCCTGCGGCTTCCGTGAAAGGAAAAAAAAATACAAACAATAGCGAAAAAAGCTAACATTCTTTCACTTTTAGTTACTTTCTCTTCTGAAGGAAGTGGAAACCGAGGGAGCAGATCACTGTCCAAAAGCTAATCACACTGAGAATAAGGAACTAGAATCCTACTTCTCCCTTCATGTACAAATGTCAACAGGCTGCTGGTTTATTAGAGATCATTTCTTCAGATTGTGTTATTGCTTAGGGCGGAAGACATGCAAGGGCTCTGGATATTTATGCTTCGTGTCCAGGAAGACTGTTCTCACCACCTGCTGTTTTTCTTCCACCCTAGCTTTTGCACTCTGTGCCTGCAGGAATGTCTTAAGCCGAAAAAGCCAGTTTGTGGCGTCTGCCGCAGTACCCTGTCGCCTGGTAGCAGAGCTCTGGACTTGGAAAAGCAAATTGAAACGACAGAAACCACGTGCAATGGCTGCAATAAAAAAGTATGAAAGTATTTGGAAATTAAGTGCATGAGGTGTGCCTGCTTGGCTGTACTACTTAGAGGGAAATAAAGTGCTTGCTCTTCAGCTTTCTGCAGAATCAGGTCTGATAAGCGCTAAAGATACTTTATGTAGGCAGCACCCAGATGTTGACATTCTTTCCACAGTTGTTTACTGTTAACCTCTTCAGGAAGGGAATTTCAAAGGAGAGGCACTGATTTTAAAATTACAGCAGAATGTTGCTTCTGAAGTTGATCCTGTGAGCATGTCTCTGTGGGAGGAATGTTGTAATGAAACAGTGGATGTAGGTTTTAGGTAGTGATCTCTTTGGTTCTCAAACAGAAATTTATTTGCTTTGTTTGAAATAGTTAGGAGTCAAAGTTGTTTTTTATGGGTGGTGTATTCCATAGACTTATTGTTTGTTAGTCTGTATGTTGAATACCAGTATGGCATCCTTCCTATCATTTCCTTTCTTTTTGTAAAGTTGGGCTTCTTAGTGTTAATTGAATGTATAAGAAAAATATTTTAGCAGGTGGCAAAACAAGAAGAAAAGGATAATTAGACACACTAAAGAAAGGGTAACAGTTCAGTTAATTTCACTTTTTATTTTGGGGTAGTGTTGTCATTCTGTCTTCATTCCACCTGATAGAAAACTGTAGTGCCTTGAATTACAGATTGCCTTATTGTAAATTTGAATTTTCATTAATGGGACTGAACAATTAGCAATCAAGCTACACCAAGATCTGTACTAAAAGCCACATTATTTTCCATAGGCTGTCTCTTCTCCTCAGTGACCAAGTAAACTGGCTTTATATGAAGCATTTTTTTTTATACTAGTATAAGTTAAGTGAGCTGTCCTGAACAGTGTTGTATTTGTAAAATTATAGGCAGCAAAGTTCCAGGTTAACTAATCTATAATCTCAAAGCTTTCCATCTCGGCAGCTGAAGTGTTTGATTTTCCTGCTTTATCACTGTCTGCAGAAAGCTGCTTTGCTTTACATGTTTACTACTTCTGCTTAAAAGTGTAGAAGTAACTGCAAGCAGTTTGAACTAACCTTGCTATGCAACTGTTGCCTGCATAGATGTATCTCTCGAAGATGCGTAGCCATGCAGCGTCTTGTTCAAAGTACCAGAATTACATAATGGAAGGTGTGAAAGCTGTGACTAAAGAACCACTTCACAACACCAGGTAACTAGCTCTTTGAAAATACTTGTCTTTTTTTTGGTCACAAAACCAGGGCTGTTACTGATTAATCGTTATAAAATCTCAATTTTGATTCTTCTGAGAGAAGTCCTTTCATCTTCAAAAAATGTGACTGCGTTATAGGGTTTCATGCAAAGCGTACAATTTTGGAGTAAAAGCAGACTCTTTGCTCAGTTTGGGTATTAATTGTTGTAATCCTTCCACATTGTTAAAAACTAAGCCTTAATCCTGCCTCTGACTGCGCACAGGCAAGCTATTCTGCTTTGTATGTAGTCCATGCGCTAGACATCTTAAAGATCGGGGTACTCGGTAAAAGTAGCTATTTTTTAAATAAAAACTATATCTTTCTGTATCTTGGTTGTAGTAACTTATAATGGAGGGAAGTCAGAATTGATTGCAGTGCACTCAGCTCATTGTAGCGTACTGGGTGGTGTGCATTTTTGTCGTGGTTTAGCCCCAGCCAGCAATTAA